AGTGAATGCAATCGATGCCTTTGCAATTATTATTTTACCGTGCTCAATAAATCATTCTCTTCGCTAACTTCTGAAATTTGAAACGAAGTGATATTTGTATTGAATATCTGTTAAATTCATTCGGTGATACCGAATTCTCCATCTATAATCTTGCTTGATCCAGACCTTCTTTCCGTCAATTTGAATCAATCAGAGGTAGCAAACCTTGATAAGCGATGTTTACCAGAGTGGTCTTGCTCCCAAACAAGTAGCGCTGTGATTGCTCAACATGCACTACTGTGGCAAACTGAATCTGATGGAAACAGAGATTGCAAATGTCACGCTTAACTTAGTAAGCTTCTTTTACAGGAGGATGGCTCATGGAACAAAACGTGGGAACATGATGGTGATCGTGAATTATTGCCTCCGACAACGTTGGTGGACTAAGCTTTGTTATTAAACGGCAACAGTTGCTTATGTTTCCGTAGATACAGAATCCTGAGCAGATCTAAGCCTGACCAACATGAACCAAAAAAAGGTGAGATTTCCCTTTACTTAGCACTTTGTTCGTTTTTTCTTTTTTTTTTATACGAGACCACTGAGGGCGGGGCACATTTGTGTCTAAGATTGTTGCACTTCAAAGCCGGCGTTTTGCTATGTGGTAATGATTGCGACTGTGGGCTTTGATTTTTTCCAGTTCCTTTTGTGGGTTGCCGGCGCTTGTGAGGGTCAACGTTCGTTTTATCGATTGCTAGCTGCATGAGCCGGGGTCTTGTGCGTCCGTAGGCAGCTAGCTCGCAGCTCTGATTTCGGCCGGTGTCTTGATTGCTGTTTCTTCAACTATTTTTTTTTTTTTTTAATTTAGCAAAGATTATGAACTTTGCTACCTATTTTCTTTAGTACTTTACACTTTTGATTTCTGGATATTCCGTCATTGCAAATTTTGTGGAGTTTGGATTACGGTTTTTCTAAAAAAATTTATTGTTTTTTGGATTGAACTGCCATAAAGTTTCTTGTTAGTTGATTAAAAAATTATGCATTTATTCCAATAAAGTTTGCGTTCAATAATTGCATGGCGGCATCACCAAGTTCATTCACAATAAACGATTCTTACTAACTCGTTTGGGGAAACTTGAATCTGAGCACATGGATGAAGATCTCGACTTGGTCTGGTTAGAAAAAGACATTCTGGTAGTGGAATCCAGATGCAGTTTAGCTTAAAAAATTAAAATAGTGCCAAAAACACAATGCTTAAACATTTCTTCAAATTTAATTTATATACTAAAAATTTAACGTGGTGAAATATCGCGGGGTTGTAGCTCAGATGGTAGAGCGCTCGCTTAGCATGCGAGAGGTACCGAGATCGATACTCGGCAACTCCACAATTTGATTCGTTTTTTGCAAATTGATAATCATCTAATCTATTTTCTTGGTATTACTAATGTATGAAAAATTTATTTAAGATACGAAACCAATCTGAATACTGTATATTTTATACTTTTTTTTTGAAACACCAGTAAGTGATACTCATTTATAGTATTTAGAAGAACTGAAACTCTGCTGAAAGTGATTCTCGCAATACTGATCCAGCAGGCGAACTAACTCTGCTCATATTCTCTACTTTAACCACCGGAGATTTAACATTTTCCGATTTAACAAACGCCTTCACATCCGTCGCCTCCTCTGACCCATCACGTTTCAATTTCTTCCCCCCACCCCGTTGAGAATACGGCCGTTTCGGCACTTTAATCATCTCATTAACAATCACCTCGACTTTCTCGCTGATAAACAACCCTGCAAAAGCAGAAAACGAAGCGGCTGTTTTAAGTGATTGGATGAGTTGGAGAGATG